TAGAGATCAACATGTAGAGAACCAAGACATTCTCGACCTAAACTTCTGTCACGACACAGCCACTCATGATTAACGGGTAGCTTGTCGAATCGACCCAAGTTTTAAAGTATCTTGGCTCTAAAATCAGACCAAATGGCCAGACTAAGGATGAAATCCAACTTGGTGTAGATAGAGCTAGAAAAGCATTCCTTGCAACTCTAGACCATTGAGGAACCGATGCGAAATAAGCTTTGACACCAACCTTCGGGTTTATCGAGCTTCCATCCTCCCCATCCTTGTTTATGGTTGTGAAACGCGGCTGCTAAGAGTACAAGATACAAGGAAGCTCTCGGCCGTTGATCATTGGTGCTTACTCCGTACCTCGAAAGTAAATTGGACAGATCGGGTTTCCAATGTTGAGATTCGACGGCTCTGCTCAAAGATCGGCAAGCTTTCGAAAACGCTGCAATGCTGGCGTCTTCAGTGGTTTGGCCAAGTACTCTGAAGACCCGACGCTCAACTCTCGTGGCAGACTGTAGCCTTTGTATTCGTAACTGGAACCAGAACTGGGTCTCACTGCTCTAACCTTGCCGCCGATCGTCACGCATGGACTGCCATCATTGGAGGCATTCAGAAAGCCGATTCATCCTCCTGCAGGAGTTAGTCGCTCAAAAGTAGAAGTAACCTGCGTCGAATATTTTCTATAGTGTTTTGTGGTGTTCACGATGTACTGTTCTCCATCTTTTGGCGTCGTCAGCGAAAAGCAGTGCTATATATATATAAACGCCTAAGTTCAGGCTGTGCCAAACAAATCACGGTACAATAGTCTTTATAAAACAAGGTTCATGATTTTCTCAGGGGCACGATACTGCCAGGTTTCCCAGACCAAAGCAGGTGAATTTTCTTCGGGAGTTCACAACCGGAATCTTCGGTAAGCCAAATCCGGATCCGCAGGGCAGTGAGGTGGGGGTGAAATTCGCCATCCACCGGGGTCGGTGTCCAGTTCACCGTATCATACGCCCGTTGCACGGGGCCGAACGTCCTAGATGCCCAATACACCCCGATACTCAATCGAGTCGGTAACCATGAACCACGACCAGGAACCTGTGGGTGAGTGTGGCTCGTTCACCTCTTTATGGTTGGTTTGGAATCAGGGTTTTCGGCCAGCTCCCCTTGGTGAACTGCCAGTGTTTCACCGACCAGGATATTGGCTTTTCGTCCTCTCATTTTGGTAGGAAAACACCTCTTCCACGAGAAAGGCTTCCTCAGCAGAGCCTATTTGAGACACTTCGTACTATGGAAGCATTGTATGAAGTGTAAAGGAGAGTGATCCACTGCAGCTCTAGACACCCACCCCGGACCATACTGAGGCTTTGGGAAGCTTTTTCCTGTTATGTAAGTCTTCATTGCAGATGATCCTGTTGCTATCTTATATTTAATAACAATAATTTTACTTAATGAATTTCTTTCAAGCACGTAAAATGTTTACAGCGTAGCAGTTCTTGGGAGCGCGATATGAAGTTTTTTTGCAGCAAACATGTGTACTATGTCTTCATTTTTATTTTTACTGTAGAGGGTGTAGTCCTTGTGGACCCTGAATATGTAAAGGATCGAAAAGTTTTCATTCATCTCCTCGGCGCTTTCCGGTATGGACGGGATGAGGTAGATCTGTTGGGCTTGAGCTACCACAAAGATATATACCTGTCCACAAAACAAGTTTATCCGACGACCTCACATCCGATTGTCAGTCATCATGAATCATCTGATATAGTCGGTAACGGCTTGAAGAACACAGAACCTCCCACTCTAACCCGCCTTCAAGAACGGTTAATCCGCAAACTGGGTGCAAATGCCTATCCATTTTATTTTCAAGTGAGTCTGTTCAATATATGTGAATGAT